CCAACTGAATTTCCATGAAATCAGAACAAAACTATAAATAACGCCCCCACACTATATCAGATTAGTGATTTGATGTGCTAATTAATTCTAATGAGCTATTGTTAATGTTATTATAATATTTAACATTTGTTAATGTTTAATAGTGTCTGTGCATGCCATTTAAAAAGCAACTCAAAAATTTCCAAAAGACTTAGATACGACATCCACTCGAGACTGATTTCTTACAATGTGGTGGACTAGGTTTTCTGAAAAACTCTCCTAGCATTTAGCCCCTAACAATACTTACAGCATAAAAAAGGGGGAAAATCCTCAGAGACCAAAAATAGAAAAAACAAAAAGAAAAACAAGTAAGCAGAGAGGAAAGCAAAACACGAAGTGTGATGATCTTTTTTATGTGTCAACTAGGCTTGGCTGCAGGCCCCGATTATTCAATAAAACACTAATCTGGGTGTTGCTACGAAGGTATTTTGTAGATGTAATTAAAGTCCATAATTGGCCGTCTTCAAGTAAAGATTATTCTTGATAATCTGATAGACCTCATTCAATCAGATGAAAGACCTTAAGAGCAGAGCTGCGAGGTCCTAGAAGAAGAAATTCTGCCTGTGGAGAGCTGCTTCAGCTCATGCCTGAGAGTTGCAGCCTGCCCTTCTTGATGGCCTGCCCATGGAGTCTGGATTCACCTAGCCAGCCTGCACTATCGTGTACACCAGTTTCTTGCAATAAAACTCTTAATATATATTTCCTACTGGTTCTGCTTCTCGGCTGAACCCTGATTGATGCATGGAGCTAGCTGCTGTCCTGGGGCATCTGTTGCTCCCTACTTTTGCTCTGAAGAGGCAAGTTTAGGACTACATAGGTAAAAAATCAGCTTAGAGACTAAGTAAAAAAGTGAACCAGAAAACAAACAAACAAGTGAGCCAACCTAACTTGGCTCTCTGGGCTTCGACTCTGGGTAGAGGGGAGAAAACTATTCATGGAGAATCTATAGCCACAAGCCATAGATTTGGGGCCCAACTTTACAACAAATATGTAGCTTCAACATTAAGCATAGAGAGATACCACTTCATGTCCACCAGATTGGCAAAATTTATAAGTGAGAACACCAAATATTCAATAAAATATGGAACACTGGGAACTCTCATTCACTGCTCTTAAACATCAACTTGGAAAGCAATTGGTAAAGCAATTGAAAATCATCTGGTAAAGTCACAGATGTATATATCCTATGAGATATTGATTTCATTCCACTACTAGGTATATACCCTTGAAAATCCTATGAACCTGTGTTCTAAGAAACATGTACAAGAATGATATTTGCAACATAATGTATAATAGCCCCAAACTGGAAGCAGTTCAGATCCACTCACAGGAAACTGGATCAAGTGGAAGATTCACATAATGGAGTACTCTACAGCAGAGAAAATGAATGAATTATAGCTACACGCCCTGGCACAAACATAATATGGAGTAACAAAAAGCCCAATACCTGCATTAAGATTCCATTTCACAGTCTTACCATATTAGAAAGATAAAACCAAGACCAGAACCCTAATTACCCATGTCCTATATCCAGGCTGTCAGCTCTTCAGACCAAGAACTAATTCCTACTCACAATTGTACCCATAGAACCTAGGAGAGCACCAGGCATAAAGGAGATACCCAATAGATATTTGTTGAATGAATGAATAAAATTTGAACACAAAAATGAATGACAGGAACCAGATCCTGTGTTTCTACCCTAGAGTCCTGATGCATGAAATCCCACACTCTGACCTTACCTGCCTGGACCCCTTTCTGCCATAGATGACTCTATAGTTGTTGTCACCTGATCCATCAAACTAGTGTTAACTCCCCTTCCCCATCTTCCTAAAACCATCGTTCCCCCAGATGCTTCCATCTAACAGCCACTCAAGTCCCAGTGTGATACACTCTTGCCAAAAAACCTAAGAGAAAGGAGCTTGTCATTGTCAATAAAATGGGGTTTTTGAATTTGCTCCAGACAATTCAGGCAAGCTGTATTTTCCCACCATTTAACATGGATTCCAGAAAGTTGGAGAAAACAAGAACTTTGGCAGGCTCAGCAAACATAAGCTCAGAAAAGCAAACAAAACTACCAAAGAAGTTAAGAACTTGTAGTTCAAATTGATCAAATCAATAACAAAATAGCATCACATTAAAGTCCTGGAAAAAAAGGACTTAATTACTGTCCCAATTGGCCCACATTGATAAGGAACTTATTGTGAAATTCCTGGGCACCTTTCTATGTGGGCAATAAACATAAGTGAAGGGACACATTTTAGGGGAAAGTGATTGATACATTTTCTCTCCTGAATTACTAGAGTACTTTTAAAGTGCATCTTTTCTCAATACCAAGAGTGTTCCTGCTTTGAACATTACAAAGAACAGAAAGCTTTACACAAGTAAAGGTGGTCTTTCTTGATATAATCACAGTAATTCAATCTCACCACATCAACTGACCTAAGTATGGAGTATACTTAATGTTGGCTAATGACATGGCTACTCTTGGCTAATTCCATCATCTCTGCAGGGTAACATGGTATTAGAACACTCCAATTACCTGGCTCTTCAGGACCAAGTACCTTTCAACATACAAGAATTTTAAATTCCAAATGTCATGTATACTTTAAGAATATTCACACTCCTATTAGATTATTCTTGAATCTCTAGCTGTCATTTATACATTGAACCATGCTTATTATCTTAGGAAGAGAGATGGTCACAAACAACAGGCATTTCCTCAACATCTAGGAAGCACACATTTCTTTTTTGTTTCTATCAGTGTTATGCAGACTAGAGGCTAGTATACTCTAGTTTCATTTACTCAGCTATGAATCAGAAAACAAAGAAACAAGCAAGCCAAGCTAAACTTCGCTCTCCCAGCTTTGACTCTGGGTACAGCGGAGAAAACTACTCCTGGAGAATCTATAGCCACAAGCCAACTCAGTTTCATTTCAATGATTCACTGCATTTCTACTTTGCATCTAACACTATGTTACAAACCGTGTGGGGAGGGAGTTCCTACTCTAATGGGGCTTTCAAACCAGTCGATGAAACAAGGTTTATATTCAAGGAAGACTTAAAGAATAAACACGAGGGAGTATAAAGCCTGAGGTATAATAGAACCTTGACTTCTGAGCTTGGCTATATTCTAAACACCAACTACCTTGATGCTTTTGAAAATTCACTCCCTTCTCTGAGCCACAATTGCTTCTTTGCTAAAAGAAAGAGGCTGCATTAGGTACCCTCAAAGGTTCTTCCAACAGAGCTGTTCAATTCTGACACTCTGAAGTCTTAGGCAAGTATATAAGAGAGTGTCTTGTAGAAGGTGTATGTGGAGAAATTCACACTGCAAAGACTGTTCCAAGGTGGGTTTAAAGGTTTCATAGTAGTGCATGATATTTGTCAGTCCCACTCTTTTCCTATCCATCCCTTCTGCCTTTGTGACTAAATACGTGCCATTCTCAATTCATTATTAACCAGCTCCACCTCAACAGGGGAGTTAAAAAGAAGAGAAGATATTCAAGGTGGGTGGATGAGGAATAGCCCAACTCATGTCACCAAGCATCTATGCCCACACGAGAAATTATCCAGCCAAATTCACTCACTGCCCTAGTAACCCTCTGTCATAGTGATGACCTAGTGATCCAAAAAACATCCAGCCACACATACAGCGTGTTATCCATCATCCAACGTCTAACAGGAATTGGGCAATTATTCAGGTGACTGGACCAGTGACCAACACAGTCCTAAAAATTCACGCTGAGACTAAGTTCTCTAAATTGGTACCTTAATCCATCAAACCAGCCAGATGATGTGTCTCTTCCCTTCTCTTGGTACTTGCTAGGAGATTTAGACAGTAAGTTATCTAATTTAGGACGAAGTTGCAATAGCTTACCGAAGTTAAGGAATTTAAGTAGCTGTCCATTTTACTGCACAGAAAACATTATTTCTTATTGCTTACATATTCTGCTAAGATCATACAAGAAACTCCCAGGAAAGTCACCATCTATCATAGGGTCTGAGTGAGAAATTACTTGTCCCCTCGTCCTTTCCTTTCATTCTCCTACTCGCAAAGCTCAAGCGCTGAGTCCCCTCAAACCCTTATCAGAATCCATCTTCCCTAATTCCTTCATCGTCTATCAGTTTTCCCCTTGAGGTCCATAATTTCCAAATCCTTAAAACATATAAATGATATTATGAATTCCTTTTGTTAACTGGCCCATTATTTTTTCTCTGAAGAAAGGAGAAACTATACAATATTTAAGAAAATGTCCCAATTTCCAGTGGCCCTTTTATCCAGGATTGTTATCCAATTTCCAGGACTATTATCTCCTACATATTAAAGAGAATGTGGGAGATACAAGGAAATAACTTGGGTCAGTTTATCTCTGAAAATCACCTGAAACTGTTGAGTACAAGGCAGAGAAGAGCACTGCAGATCATTTCCAGGGCACTTCAGTGAACTATAAACAAATGCAGCCAAAAGAAGCTTGGCTGAATTCACCATCTGACAATGTGTTGCTATTTTTTTCAATTTCTCTTCACACATCATTATCAACATCATCAAACATTTAAATTTGCCTACCATGTGCAGATAGGACAAGCTGTCTAGTAATATTCCAGCTTATGTATTATAACACTGCTGATACTGAAGATGGTTGTCATTAATTTAAACTATCTTCCTCTAAGGGATTCAGAAGAGTTTTTTTGAAAAAAACCAATTCACCAATATAAATATCATATGAGTATCATCAACTAACGTGGCAAGGATGTAGGAGATGCTTTTTTCCCTTCCCATTACGCATATGAAGACTTTTGAGTATACAGAAGGGAAATGATTTATACAAGGGTACATGCTTTCTAGCAGCAGAATGGGGAGGAGTTTAGCGGATTTGAAAAAGAACAGGTCATGTTGTAATAAAACAATAAAAGAACAGAACAAACTCCTCAATGTAGTGAGGAAATTTAAGTCACGATACCCTTTAATCCGCAGGTTGGCTCCTTCATCTCCGGAACTCTCCGCCTCTGCCTCCTGTAAATGATGTGTGGGTGGTACCCTCCCTCAGCCAGTGGATGCTTTTTGACAGGCTCAATGAAAAAGTCTCCATGTGGTAGATGGAAAAATCCAGTCTGTAAATACATTCAATACAAAGGTTTATTTGAATCGATTCTTTATCTATGCAAAGAAAATTAGTAAAGTGAAAATTATATAGATCATGATGATCCCTGAAACTCTTAAGACCAGTGCTTTCAGGGTCTGCCATTTGATCTCACAGAAGAGCTACACATAAATAATTTAATAAAATGTCTTTATAGTCATGGTTATTAAATGTTTGGGGTCATGGATCCCTTTGAGACTCTAATGAAAAAAAGTGCACATATACACATCTATCTAAAATGTAGCAAACAACTTTGCAGGCTCATGAGTCTCCCCCTAAAAACCCATCACTGGATATATATGAATCTTAAATTAAGAGCCAGTGCTTCCTAGTTGCTTATTATGGAGTTGGTACCTACACTCCATATTCCATTGACAATCTTTTGGAACATTTACCTGTGTGTGGGTAGCCCAGTACATGTTCACACAGCTGTTTGACTTGAAGTGTTTAACGCCACTCTCTCTCCAGAAAACAAAGCAATACAACACTAAGTCCTTGATCTGATGTTGAGTTTCCAGGAGTCTATAGTGGAAAGCCCTCTGTCAGTTTCCGGGGAAAAGGGAGCACTCATTTCACAGATGTGGGAGTCTGGATATGCTGGAGAACGCAATGAGTAAGTCTTTTTGGAGGTCAGGTCTAGAAATGGTATATCCTACAACTCTCTTTTCTCTTTAGGAAAATTTCTTAGTCCCATTTGAGGTGCTTAGATACCTCCTTTGCCAGTGGTCTCCTAGGATGGACTTAACTCTCAGGATCTGAATTTTATATCGATGGAAAAAAGGCCTTGCCCTAGATGACCTGCCTGATGCATCATATGGAAGTGATCAGGAGCTCAGACTCTGGAATTAAACTGGGTTCAAATCCCAGCTCCTCCACTTATTAGCTCTGTGACCTTGGGCAAACGACTTGCTCAGTTTCACTTTTCTCAACTGAAAACTGGGGACAATCATGGGTTGCTGTGAAGATTAAATGAGTTAATATACGCAAAGCTCTTAGAAAAGGGCCTGGCTCATAGTCTTATCTGTCATCAAACTCTTTCCAGATCTTAGACTTGACGTCATTTCATTGTATTAGGGTCTCCAGAGTCAATACAGCGTTTCAACAAGTATTAAGTTTGCAAAAATAAACCTAGAAACATTGGGGATTTAGGGAAACTGTGAGAGGCTTCCAAAGTTCAAGCCCCCCTCACCATACCACAGCAAGCTCTACTCTGCTCTGCAGAGTCTGAAGACCAGCTGAGCAGCCCCTGCAGTCAGGAGGCAAGAGTGGCTCCTTGAAAGGACGATGGTATCTATTGGACAGCCCTTGGCTTGGGTGTCTTTCCAAAATGTTCGCTTCATTGTAGCTAGTGATATAAACAGATCTTAACATAAGTCTCACAGTTGGCTTTCTATGTTGATTACTGACCTTAAAATATCTTTAATAACAAGGAGAACAGAAAAAAAAAGAACACTTTACTGGGAGTCACAAGAATAGTTGTGTGACCTTGAATAGGTGGCCCAACCTGTGAAATGGAGGTAATGCCTACTACCTCATTGAGTTGTTAGGAGAATCAAGTGAGCTGAAGCTTGCATACATGCCATGCAAACTGCTTTACAAACGCAGGGTGGTAATACTTTAATTACGAACTCCAATAGTGGTTACATCTGACTTCAAATTTGCTGACATTTCTTGGGGGACATGACATTTTTTCTCGGTATCTTTCTCTGAGTAAAAACCTCTGGAACAGGAAGAACTGACAAGGCCCAGATTGCAATAAGAGCTGGAAACAGACTCCATGCAGTGCTAAAACTTGACTCTATTTCTACTTTGAGACAAAGACCAGGGACATGAGGAGAATGTGGGCCTGTTGCTAATGAAGCTCATCTGTTCCATGAAAACAAAGTAGAAGTCAAGGATTCCTCAGGGATGGCTGGTGTGGGGTCCCTTTGAGCAACTGCTACCAACTTAATACTGATGTCTTTGGAGGGAAAAAAAAAACACATCACCAGCAAGAAGAAATTATTGGTATTTCTTTAGCCTCAAATTTTGGACCCAGGTGGTACAGAAGAAACAGACGGGACTCCAGTTGAGAACATAATAACCATTTTATGGGCAACATGAATAAGAACTCCTGAAAGCCAGACAAGCATTCCTAAAGGCTTACTTCTATTTGCATTCCTCCACAAGGCCACCCTTGCCAGCATGTGCCCGGAAATCACCTATTCACCTAAATATTTCTCAGAAGCTGGATGGAGACCTAGGAGAGCTGGGTGACTCAGCAGCTGGAGGGGAAGCAGGATACTTGGTCATATGCAAGTAGGGCTGCTGGCCCCAGGATCCCATGTGTGTGTCACAGAGAAGGAAATGGGCAGGAGACGGGATGAAGAGACATCCGCAGGTTTGGGGAGGTGGAAAGATTTCCTAGCTGAGCTCTGCACCTCCTCTCTCTCTCAACATATAAACACAGAGCTTTGTACACCTGGTACCAGGGGGCCACGGTTTATTGGTCTCTTCTCACCTAAGTGGAGCCAAGTCATGCTGAAGAATCACGTATGGTTTGCTTTCCAAAGGAAGGACTGGCTCCATGCTGTCCCTGAAGCTAACTGCCCAAGAGAATCACCTTTTTCTATGACCAGTTCTGGATTTGAACCAAAGAAGGCACTCTTCATTCCAATCTTCTCTACAACCTGGTCACCCTTCATATCTTTGAGGGAGAATGGGAATGGACTTGAGGAAAAAGTATCCAATTCACTGGGGGCTTGTAGTCTGTTCCCAGAAGAACCAGGGCAGAATGAGCCCCAAGCAGAAGCTCAGAAAGACAAATTTGCCCTTTTACCTCCTCTGTCATCTACTCTGTCTCCTCCCAGTATCCAGCAGTCTCAGCACACTACAAATTCTTTTTTGAAAATAAACTCATCTCCTAGTTTTAACTAATTTATAAATATCTGTGAATGCTTCCCAGGGCTATCTTCTAGGAATTGTTTTAAATAAACTTTGTTTTGAAGCACTATAAACATACAGAAAGATATACAAATCGTAACTGTAAAGTCCCATAAATCGTTCATAGAGGGAACACCTAGATGGAGAAACAGAACATTCTCAGCAGCTGAGAAACTCCCTGTTCCCTCTCCCAGTCAATACCATCCCTCAAGGATAAATGTTATTCTGATTTCTAACACTAATAAATTAGTTTTAAGCCTAGCCTTAATTTCTTTCTTTCTTTCTTTTTTTTTTTTTTGTGAGGAAGATCAGCCCTGAGCTAACAGCCATGCCAATCCTCCTCTTTTTGCTGAGGAAGACCGGCCCTGAGCTAACATCTATCGGCAATCCTCCTCTGTTTTTTTTTTTCCCCTTTTCTCCCCAAAGCCCCAGTAGATAGTTGTATGTCGTAGTTGCACATCCTGCTAGTTGCTGTATGTGGGACGCGCCCTCAGCATGGCCAGACAAGCAGTGTGTTGGTGCGTGTGCCGGGATCTGAACCCGGGCCCCCAGCAGCGGAGCTCACGCACTTTACCGCTAAGCCACGGGGCCGGCCCCAAGCCTATCCTTGATTCTTTACAGGAAGCATTACTTGAGATAAAAAAGAAAAAATGTCTACTAGTTCATTTCAAGAGTTAGGGATTGACCAATGGAAAAGATTTTAAGGCAGGTGGATTTCATGAGTTCCATTTATTGGGCTCTTCATATTGCTTCCTACTCATCAGGCAAGCCCAGCTGGTGGGAATGACACAAAGGGCTGAGGTACCTTGGCATGAGTCAGTTGCATTGAACTTCTACTGCTCTCTGCTAAGGAAAGGTGGAGAAGGACCTTCAAAGGCTTTTTAAACCAATTTATTTTTCCTAGTCTCAGACTGAGAATAGTTGCCTACAATCTCTCCTCCTCCTTCTCAACTCTCATCGGTGTTAGTCATCTTGATGTACTTGACATTATACTTCAGTTAGTGCAATGATTAGGAGTTCAGTGAGAAACTGGCAGCATCTTACAAGGAATTTGTGACTAGAATATTCTAGAATCAGAAGGCCTAGAGACTTTGAAGAGTCATCTAATCTATGTTGTCATGCCTTCCTAAGGACCACAGGTAAAACCTAGCAGACTGAAGAGTAAAAACCAATGGTATTATAAAAGACAGGAGGGAATTACCAAATCAATTCCAACACTCAGGGCCCTACATTGCACAACTCAAGGGGGTGCTGTTCACATAGGAAAAAAACTGTGAATGGTGTCCCTGGAGTTATGCAACGAAACAGTGCTGCCAAAACTCATCAACCTAGAAAGAAATTCCTTCTCATTTGAAAATTTCAGAAGTTACCAGATCAATTTGTTTCTTCCCATGGTGATGATGACAACATGATCAACACATTCTGAAATCAAGAACAGAAAAAAATTGGTTTGGGATAAAGAGGTAGCCAAGATACTCAATTATAGTGCATGGATCACTGGAAAATGCACCACCTGTTCCCCAGTATATGCACAGGAAAAAGGATAACAATCACACCCCCAAAATCATCCTTATCAAGTATCAATCTGTATCTATCATATGGCCAGTCCTGTGCTAAGAACTCTAAGATGGGTAGTGACCGTTGCCCTCAAGGTTTACCACCCAGCCAAGAAGACAAGACTGATATCCATAAAACAGTAGAAAGGGGACAGCAAAGCCCTAACATTTGTGTGTTTAAAGGGGCTTAGTACTCACGTGACCTGAGGGACCAGTCCACAGCCTCTGGTGGCACTGGGCCTGGAGCCCAAACCTAGATCCCTATATCACAGACCCTTCCCCAGTGCACACGGCACCCTTGCGGGAGGTGAGGAAAGGTCCCTCCCTAGGTGCTACAGATTCCAGTGCTGTGGTTCAGAGAAGACACAGGGCAGTGAGGGTGGATGCTTTTAGAGGGCAAAGGCAGAAGACTGAACTTCTATAGTCTCCAAAACACTAGGCACAGTCCTAAAGTCATGACAGCCTCTCAGAGTTACTAACTTTCTTGTTGCTG